TATGGTTCAAATGGAAAAAAAATAGGGTTTGATTTGCTGCAATCCACTGTGGTTCCGAGCTTATGTGTCCAAAATCACGTCTTTACTGACAGCGATGTTTGTGCCAGTTGCTGGTCCTATGCGTGCAGTGTTCACGTGTATAGCACTGACTATTTAATGGCCCAATATCTGTGGTGCAAGTGCTCTAGACAGTGCCTCGGTGCACACCTCCAGTCTTGGTGCCACCAGGAGGAAAATTGCTTCTTGCCAGCATATGCTGCGCAAGTCCAAATAGAGATGCAAATCTGCATCCAAAATAATTACTCCAGTTCACTAATTCACTAATATATTTTCCTTAGGATAGCTGAGCATTTTAGGAATCAGTTCTGGAGAGAAAGCATCTGCAAAGCTTGAGCTGTCCGTGAAGGACTTGATGCAGGTAATACCACAGCAGAAAGCTACGTAACTCCTTGTGTCTGTGTTCACAGCTGAGGAATTTGGGGGTTTCCCACACCAGATCATGGTCACAATTTTGAGGAGCTGTCTCAAGTTCAAGCTGCAGCAAAAGAGGCTCAGAGCAAATCACTGAAATGAACAGTGGCGGGTCAGTGCAACCAGGTGGTGGTCGGCTTCGGGTATGAAAAGAACTTAAATTGGAAATTGCTTGCACACTAGCATCACGGGTAAGCTGTGATTTAAATTGGCCCTGCTACTGAGGGAATGAAAAATGAGCTGCTTCTGTGCTTAAGGTATCTCCAAGATGATCCAGCAGAATTATAGACAAGTTAGGTCTGATATTTTATGCTGCAGATTGCTGGAGTTATCAGAAGTTGGTAGACACACACAGAATACAGTATTTCAGAGAAGAGTTGATGTGACTTTAGCAGAGGAAACTCGTGTCTTGCACACATAATATAGTTTTCTGAAGAGAGCGGGCGCATAAAAGGGAGCCAGGCACTGTGGAATAAGAGGAAAGTTTCTCTTCTGAATGAATAAGTGGTTACAGATAGGAAATAAAAGGTACAAATAACTGGGCAGTTTTCGCAGTGAAGGGAGATTACCAATTACCTGCCTCGGGAACCTGTGCAGTTCAATATACTCATAAAAGAGCTGGAAAAGGGAGACTGATGATAGTGACGTGCCAAAATCTGCTGATGGTATAGAGTTATTCCAGGTAAGCAAAAGTAGACACGACTACAAAAAGTTGCAGAAGAATCTGATGATATCAAATGTCTGGGCAATAAAATAGCTGCTGAAATTCCATGTTGATAAAAGTCAAGTGCAGACACAATGATAGGGTTTAAATTATCCCGCGAAAGAGGTCCTGGCATTGCAGATGGTTCTTTGAAAACGTCTGCTCGGCGCTCAGCAGAGGTCAGAAAGGCAAGTGGAATGCTAAGAATTGCTGGGGGAAGAGATGGAGAATAAAAGAGAAAATGTAAGTACACCACTGAATAAATCCGTGGTGATCTTGAATAGAGTGCAATTCCAGTCACCCCCTTCTCAACGCAGCAGTAAAATAGAACTAGAAAAGATGCAGAAAAGGGCGAGAAGGCTGACCTGAGTTATGAAGCGGGGAGTTCTAAGCCTGTGAAGCTTGCTGAAGAAATGAATGAGCAGGATTAAGGCAGAGGTGTAAAATCAAGATGGCTATGGAGAGAGTGAATAAGGAATTACTTTTTTTAGCAGAGGATGTAATGACGTGGTCAGGCAAGAGGTTTAAAGCAAACAACAGGAAAAAACTTTCACAGGCTATAATAAATTAGGAAGCTCATCAAACACAAAATCTTTTACATGCTGAAAGTACAGGTTGTTTAAAAAAGTAGCAGTGCTGAGGTTCCCAGCGCCTATCCCAGTGCACCGAGCTGGCCACCTCCCCTCTGCCCGCTACAGCTGGGTGAGATTTGGGGTCGGGTTTGGTTTGGCCTCTCGCCAGTAGAACCTGCCAGGTTTTTTGGGCTGGATTATAATCAGTTAAAGGATCACTGTGATCTTCTAGCGTGATCTCTCCTGTGACAAAAGCCACAGAAGTCCCTTGAATGAATTAATGAATTAATTTTCTTTGAATTGCGGTGGAATATTGGGGGGACAAAGATCCAATAGTACCTTAAAAATTTCCTGCACTGAGTAAAAGGTCCCAAGGGTTAATTACACTCTCCCTAATTTGGTCCTTCCCATTTCGGCACGCAAAGGCTGCAGCAGCCCTTTTGGCTGCAGCACGGTAACGGGAGGTCACGTCGGATGGCTCAGGAATTTTGAGACAGCGAGGACTAAAAAGTCTGCTAGAACAGGATTATCATCAAATTATATCTGCCTCGGCAGCAGGAAATCAATCAAGAGTGGGCTGATTTACACCTGCCGGAGCCAGCACATCATGAACTTCATCATCTTTCCCAGTGATGTTTTTATCTTTGCATCGACACAGTCAGTGCGAGGAAAATATTTTCCCGTTTAAAATCAAAACATTCAAGGTAGTGTTTGGCAGAGTGTTGGAGCCTGGGGTTCCCGCTGCTTCTGACAGCAGTGCTGGTATCTTTTGCTAATGACCAAAGTGCAATATAATGAGTTGTCTTGGGCTTCTGTTTTATTCAGCGTGCAGTGTTTTAATAGACTGTTAGTAATTCTGAAAGGGATAAATGATGTTTATGCCCTCTTGTGGTATGTTATTGAACAGAATGGATTTTCTAACTGACAAAATTAGGCTGATGATGGAAAAGTCCCAGGTAAAAATCTGTAACGAATACTGTTTTGCACAGTAGAAAAATACCCATCCCTCCAGCAGCATCCTCATGACTCAGTTAAGGGGGGGGAAGCCAATTTTACATGCATTTACAGCAGCAAGTAAATGACTAATGCCCATGGTGACAGAGTTTGTGCTATCTTTCTGGAGTGAAGATAATTTTAGAAGTGCTTTTCTTTGCTAGGAAGGTTAGAAAGTAAGTGAAATACTGCCTTCTAAAAGCGGTTGTGTTGACACCGCTTTGTGTTAGTTGTTGCTGACGTGTTGTGATACATACCTTCACATTTTTTATCTTCGCTCACGCAACTGACGGGTAAATAGTCTGATTCCCTTGGGACAAAGCCTGTCCCAAAGATGAAGAACACTGTTTGGTGATTTTACATGGGGAAATAAGGCCAGATTCATGTGAAATTGGGCTTGTTACCCCGCCATGTTCAAATACAATGACTTAACTGGTCAACATCTTCCTAACCTGCACTGAGAATTTAGAAGTAGGGTTGGGAACCCAGGGGCTCCCCAGACAGGTCAATCACGGATTTTGTATCAATCTTATTACTTCATTCCTGACTGAAAACTGAATGTATCCTCCAGACAGTGGAATTACCAGAATAAATCAGACTAACGCTCTACAAAGTCCAGCAAGTGATGTCAGACTGCGGTCAGTACTTAGCTGTGCTGAGGCAGGATCTAGGAAACCCTGTTGTAGGAAATTCAAAGACTTTTTGGTCCCAAATAATCACCTATTACTTAACTGTTAGCTAGTGCTGTGAGGAAACATTATTTCCATTACATGTCATCTTTCTCTCTGCCCAGCCACCAAGTATGTAGAAGACTATTGTAAAGAGGAAGGGAATGATTTCCTTTCCACATCCATGATGAGTACAACCACAATAGTGGGTTTAAATGAAAATAGTGGGCTTAACTGGGCTAGGCTTTAGGAAAAACTCTCTAACAGGATGGTAAATATTGGAATGGACTCCTTGAAGAAACTGGAGGATCTCCGTCTCCGAGGATCTTTCAGGAACAGTGAAACAAATGTTTGCTGGGAGTAAGGCAGCTTTCATTCGTCGTATCATGATGAAAGAAGTTGGACTCGATGACTTACTACAGGTCTACCAGCTCTGGTTCTGTGGTTCTGTGTGATGATTTCCTTTTAGTGGTTTTATTTATTAGTATGATGAGAGAACACATATTTATCTGGTAATCTGAAATGCTAACCCTTCGTCCTTACAGTTGATCTTACCGTCGAGTCTGGCTGATAGCAATGCAATTCTATCTATGTCCAGTACTTTACAAGTATACTTTGCAACAGTAGTCTGACACCAATTAAAGTGCTTATTAGGTTATCATGGACTTCAGTGAGCACAAGTTATGTCCCCACTGAGATGAGAATTGGCTGCAAAATGTTGGTGCTTACCAGTTTCCTTAGAAAAGGAAAATTCAGTAGGAAAGATGTCATGGCAAATCATGTTAAAAAGAAATTTCCTCTGTCAGAAACCTTTCAGGAGTTTCAAATTCAGTTAGGGGATATCAGAAAGAAATTAAAGTCTAATTTAAAATCCCCACCCACATTCCTTCTTCTTTTCCTGCAAAGTGATTATTGCTCCTGGTCCACGTATTGGCAAATCTTTCAGAAATGAGCCATAATTTGCCTTAAAAATACCTTTCTGGTCATGATGGAACTGTTCTTTTTGAAGAATGGGTTTGCAGCGACTCTGTGAAAAGAGCCCAAATGCTCTTATTTCTCAATGGCATCAGTGGGGCTAAAATTTCACCCAGAAATTCTTCTTGGCATAAGGAAATTCAGGGTGGATAGCACCATTTCAAAGCTGAGGCACCTGCCCGGTGAAGTTCTTGGACACTGCAAGGCAGCTGGCCAGGCTTGATCAAAGTGTGCTCTGCCGCCTTTCACATTTGTTTTCCACTTTCGTTGATGGCACCACATCTCTACCTGGCGTGGTTAATAAAGAGGAGAGAACGAATGTGCGGCCATAGCAAATTAAACAAATGAGCCATTAAAACAGGAGGGTGCACTATCTCTTCTCACCAACGCCTACTTTCGTGCCCATAATGTCTCCTAGCAAAATAACGTGAGAGCAAGGATAAAAGGGCTTTCAGGGATGTGCTGTAGCTGTGATATAAAGGGCTTTCAGGGATGTGCTGTAGCTGTGGTCCAAGCGCTGAGAGATGTCTGTGGCTCCTGCTGAGAGAAAACCTAACGTCATTCATCAGCAGAGAAGCCAGCAAACCACTAATGGCTTTCCATCGTGTTTCTTGACAGGTATTGACAGAGGGCGGTTTTGGTCCCATCACAACAGAAATCCGGGAGGCTCCGGAGTTTTATTACGCCGAAGATTACCATCAGCAGTACCTCAGTAAGAACCCCGACGGATACTGCGGCCTCGGGGGAACAGGGCTTTCCTGCCCTATTGGGATCAAGAAATAGCCTGTGCTTACTCCACTGCCTCCACTTCGGTTTAAGGAGTTGTTTGAAAAAAGACCGACAACCCTGATAGGTGTTATGGTATACCCGCAGCTTCAGTGCATAAAGATTTGGGATCCTGTTGGGGCGGCTTTCTGTAATCTTGAGCAGTTTCCCATTCACCGACATTAAAACAAAAAAGAGACACAAAAATTGCACCTGTTGGCAAATGCAGCTTCTTGCTCAGTGCAGCTCACTGGGTATCCTTGCAGTCTTGTGATCTGGAGAGAAAAGAAACTTCTAAAAATTTCGTTAGAAATGCTGTTAAAAAGATGAATTAGGGGGTGGTTGCACCTGCTAACTGCTTTGCATAGTTAATGCCTTCGGACGTTTATTTTCTTGGGTTAATGAATTCGCTCATGTTATGAGAGCTTTGACTTCTGGAGACGTGGTTGGGCTCATCTTAACTATCACAACCCTGTAATTTGATGTCTTTGAGAATGGTGAGTTTATAAGGTCAGTAACTTTCTCACAGTTCCACTTTCACAGCAACATGTAATATCACCTATAGTGCCTATTTTCTGAAACAATTTTAGTAAGAAAAAGTAAAAATTGTAATGTGATACTTCTTTTTGACAGTTCCAAAAAGTGTATAAACACAAAAAGAAATCAATTTTGTTTCCTGCACTGCAATAAATTACAAAAAAAAGAAAAGAAAAATGTTGTCTGCAATGTGTTCCATGGCCTTAAGTATAAATCGAGGTAGATCTAAAAAAAGTATCAAATATTATAAAAGGCTGCAGCCTGCTAATTAAACACCAGGGCTTTTAAATCTGTATTATCGTGCATGACAGTACAGAGGAGTAGAATTCATATTGGCTGCACTGTAACATAATTATTCCTATGATTAATTATTTGTACTTCAGTAGCTTGTGGAGCCCCCACCAAGACCAGAGCTCATTGCGGCAGGTGCTGTGCAAACGTACTGTCGGGCAGTCTCTGCCCCAGTGCGTGTGCAGTCAAAATAGCAGGACAGCCAGAAAAAGGCAAAATAAATTTTCATTTTACTCATGGGGTTCTCAGAGTGGAGACTAAAAGCTACAGCCAAAGGATGTAGGGGATGAAGGGGTTATCCTATATGGATATGGGTTCCTATGGATTATATGTATGCTATGGAGTATCCTAGGACAAACAGCTTCAGCAAGAGAGATGGGGATGGGTTTGTCCCACCCATCCAACTTGCTGGTTTCAACACTTCCAAGAGCAGTGGGAGGTGTGGGCTTGAGCCTCTCATGTGTTTCTTATTTTGGAGGCTCTTAATCACAAAGTTTGAAGAACACGTGTCATTGGTGTGTCCTCTTGCAGATGTGCTTTCTTCAGGGAAAGCTTGTAGGAGCCCACCTTGATGTGTCAATTCTGGGCAGCCGAGCACATAAAGCCATTTTTGAAGGCCACATGGTGGGGACCCAGAGACACAAATCCACAGCATTTCCTCTTGGATAGCTCTCCACGGCACTCCTCTCCATATCTTGGTTTGATGTTTCCTGCTCGCCAGCTCAGGTTTTAGGCTCAGAAAGGCCCAAAACAGCTCCGTGAACATCTCCTGTAACTACCCAGCAGACCAGTTCCTGTTCCAAGTTAGGAGTGACTGAAAATGTGCATCAGATAGTCAGTCTCTGGGCTTGTAAATCCACTGCTGAAGTCCTGCCTGCTTTATCCAAAGACAGGCAGTAAGTCCATGCCAGAGAAATTAGCTCCCCGTCTTCCCTTGCTCCTCAGCTGATGCTTAGTTCATTCCAATCTCAAAAGTCAGAGGAAACCTGTCCTTTTTATATAAACCTGCTGATTTATACCTGGGGCAAGCTTGAGAGGAGCTACCTCTGGCGGGATTGCCATGTTAGGCTCTTTCTGGAGATGCCCCAAAATGTGCCCACATCACACTCGGGATTTCCAGTTGCTGTGGTAACTGATCGCCTGTCCTTAACGTGTTGTGCCACTGAATTGTTCTAGTGCTCACTGTCAAGGAAACCGGCACTTTCGTCTAATTTCCTAAGCATGAGGTGACATAAAAGCAAAGAAGAGAGGAAAATAAAGTCTTACTTTCATCCTATGCATTTTTAACCTCTGCATAATTCAGGCTTCAGTGGGATAACTCCTGATTTGCTCCAATGTACAAGGCAAAACATTTCATATGCTGAATCATTCGGGTGCTCATAAAATGTTGCTTGGTTCCTTTCTGTCCTTTCCCCTCCCTCCCCTCCTACTCCATGCCATAGTTATTGTTTTGAAACAAGCTGGAAAGTCTTTGGAGAAAGCACCATTCTGTCCTTAATATAGCTGGGCTCAAGTCTGAACCTGGCTGAGGTTTTTTTAAGTCCTGTCCTGACGGAAAGAATGTGTCGGTTTAGAAATCAGCATGGACGGGTCCATTGATGCTAAAATTGGCCCACACCAAAATATTATGCTGCCACAGAATTAATTATGGAGTTACTGCAGGGTGCAGTTTTGGCCTTGACCCCTTGTAGTTGCTGCTGAAGGTACAAGGAGTATCAGGGATATAATCAGTAAAGGAGAAATGCTAATGACTCAGCCTCATGGATTAATTTTTTAAGCTGGATTTGGTCTTGTAAGCCACCCTTGCCCCCAGGGAAGAGGGGAGTGGCTGCCTCAACATCGTTGATACTATACTTTTGATTTGGCACTGTTTGAAATTTACCCTACCACAGAGCTGCCTCTTTCTTCTGAGAACACAGACACGGTCTAAATTAAGAGAAAATTAATTCAGAGTTCGATAGGCTTCAGCACTTCTTGGAGTTGAAGATGAAAGCTGATGCAGGACCAGCATCTAAGGCCTTCAGAGAGAAGAACATGGTTCAAGATCCAAAAAAGGCTACAGCACCCAACTCATGAAGTCCACTAAGGCAATACCTGGTGAAAGTCAGTTCAGGATACAGACAGGAATTTCACTGCTGCCCTATCCTTATCATAGCTAAAGCAAATCCCCAGCCTCTTGGAAATCACTGAGCTTTCCCTCGTCGCCTTAGGAAGGACAGCGTCCAACTGTGACGTCAACAGAAACAAATGGATTGTGCGATGTCACATCCTGGTTGCCCCGGCAGAGAGATGTGTTGCCTTTGAAGAGAACATGGAACGGGGGAGATGTCCTGAGGTGTCTACAGAAGCATCACTGCTCTGAACGTTGTCGAAGAGCGTTGGTCCAAGACTGGGATTGAAATGCTGCTCCTTACCCTCTTCTGTTTAACTTCTCTGATCAGCAGCATCAATGCGGGTTTTTCTTCCCAAAGTTTTATGTTCAGAAATGACCAGCAGAGCGGAACAGCTAGTAGCCCTACAGGATATAAGCGTATCGGTAAATGAAAAAGGCCCGAGCATATTCCTTGTACCTGATGGCATATACGTACGGCTTGTACTACAGCCTGATACTGAACTCTTCCACTCATGCTCCCTAAACAAGGATTTTACCCAGCCTGCCTGTGGGAAACGGTCTATGGCCCTGCTAGCCCCCAAACTGCCTGGGCATTGCTTGGCAGAGTGCAGGTTTGGAGAGGCTACAGTGATGCCAGGGGCCTTGGTAGAGATCAAGTAGCATAGATAATTATAGACCAGTGCTTTAGCCGATGTCCTGCCCCTCTATTTTAGTAGCACAGGCAGTGGCACTTCTGTACGTGAGCAACGTGTCTCATTTCGTACCCAGAGTGTGGCCTCCGACCATCTTACGAGTCCTTTCTGGAGACCGGCAAGAGGATCACAGCGGGGAGATACGCCAGGGCTGGGGAGTTCCCCTGGCATGTGAGCATCCAGAGCAACGGGAAACATATCTGCGGAGGCACCATGATCAGCGCATTGTGGATTTTAACTGCGGCCCATTGCTTTGCAGAAGAGGTGTGAGTACTCGGGGGAAGCAAGGGCAGCCCAGGCACAACGGATTCATAACATCGCTCCTTGTGGGTGTAGGATATGTATGTCCTTGGGGTCAAGTGCAACATGTATGTGACTGAGCCAGAAAGAGAGCCCCGAAAACAGGAGTTGTCTCCTTTGGGGAAAACAGGCCCATTTTTGATCAGAGGTAGTGTTACAACAGAAATGTGCAGAAATCTGCATAGCCAGGAGATGCAGAAAGGGAATATTTTGAAGGATGGGCTGAGCAGCCTTGTATAAATGCCTGTGATGCTCCTCTGATGGCCCCAAGCATTTCCCGTACATCTACACACGCTGCGGTACCTTGTAAAAAGAGGCGTGTTCCATTCCAGCTTATTCTAACCCCCAAATTACCTTTGCTTTCATACGGCAAACACCTTTACCTCATGGAGGATGTGATTTTAAAACAGCAGTTTCTGGATAAATCAACCCCGTGCATTGCCTAGGGGCAGAGTCCGGCCCTCTGTGAGCCCCCTCCAAAATTCGGCGGGTCTGAGAGCCGAGACTGCTTGGTGACAAATGACCTGTGGCATCACAACCTGGAGCAGCTGGCTGGGGGCAGCGCGGTCCAGACCAGCCAGCCCAGGGCACAGCCATCCCGAAGATCCAGCCCACTCCATCTGTTCGTTAGCGACCGGGCTATTTATAACTTGGTTGCATTCACGTTCTACCTCTGCACCTCTCCCCCCTGAAAATTAGCTTTGCCTAGAAGTGAGGGTAGATTTCTGTGATATTTATAGCTAACCTGCCTCTGCAATTTGCTGGGCACCACCCTACCCTGCTTGGGGGGGAGGAGGCACCAACCTTTATAACACAAAGCCTTCGTGTTTGCTTATGCCTACACTGCTTCTATTTTGTTTATAAGGCCACCAGATCTCACTGTTGTAGTGGGGGGAATTGACCTCAACCTCCCGCTGGAAGAACATAAGCCGGACAGCTTGATCCTCCACGAAAACTTTGACAGAATGAGCATGCAAAATGATATCGCTCTGATCCTGCTCAGCTCTCCCATCGAGTTCAGCAATGAGAAAATCCCCATCTGCTTGCCCTTCATATATGACATCAATACGTGGCAACACTGCTGGGTTGCTGGGTGGGGAACCACAAGTGCAGGTGAGATGCTGTCAGGAGATGTATTTGCTAATGGAGGCTGTTTTTTACCCATTTAAAGTAGATCTTCTCTCCCAGGAGGGGCTACCCATGCTAACTTCCACTCCCTACCTCCCTGGTAAACATATCCAGACCCTCGCAGCCTCTGCACAGCCACCAGTTCTTTGTTCAGTGCAAGAACCAGTCACCTACTGACCCACAGAGCAAAGGCCCTGGTACTCGGAGCACATATGTTCAAGCTGAAACCTTAGAGCCCACCTTTGCTCTGCAGGAACTCAACCTCTTGCTTGCTTTTTTTGGCACCCAAAGTAAGACAAGCTGGTCTTACCCTGGTGGGCAGGTTAGGCTGGGTCTAAAGTGGTCTGGAATAAGGGAAATGGAGGTCTAGGGTTGTCTTTGGCGTAATGGCTCCATGACCCAGATTGATTCAATGGTACTGGCTACCCCTCTTCTTCACTCATTTAGAACAGCAGATTGCTATTGCTAATTGCTCTTGTCTAAGCCCTAATGAAAGTAGCTCCAGCACTGATTGTGACCCAAAATGTCTATCCTGAACAAATGTCACTAAACAGCTAATATGCGATTTCATTATTGGAAAGCGGTAATCGGGACGGCGTGGGCAGGGTGGTGCCTTGGGGCTTTAACAGTCCTTCC